CATATATACATATATATATATATATATATATATATATATATATATATAATATAGGAAGTGTGTTCCACCAATCCCTGAGGGTAGATCTCAAAGCCAATCAAGTTGAAACTCCATACTAGCTGCCAGAGTTTTTTGTTTGTTTGTTTTGGAATGGCTAATGAATTTTATTTTTTTCAGTGTTAGGAATTAGGCATACCAGATAAGGGTCCTACTAGAACTATACTCCCAGCCCAAGTCATTTTTTTATTTTGTTTTGTTTTACCTTACCAGGGTTCTTATTAATACCATTACTACTTTGTTTCATTTTTCCTCCAGACTAAAATTGGGGGATGAAAAACAATTCTATATTCATTAACAGTTAGAAAGAATTCATATCTAACACTGTCTGTGCCTGGTGCTTCTTTTAAATGACCAATCTTTATTTAACCTTTATGCTTTGTTCCATAGTTATTTTCTGGAGCCAGATTTAGTCATTTTTGTTTTTAATAACTTTTTGATTAGTCTTACCTTCTCTAGTGTATAATCTAGTGGTCAGAGTAATCTTTTTTAGACTAAAATTAAATTATGTCATTCCTCTTAAAATTCAATAAATAAAGCTACATAAAATTTAACCTCTTTACTACTCTTACAGGCCCCTAATGATCTGTTTTGCTCATCATCGTGCCTTTCTATTTCATTTCAAACATATGGATAGACTGCCCATGACTCATATAACAAGCATCTCTTCCCTCTTGTTCTCTTTGGTCTTTCCTTGCTTTAGAACTGGGTTTTTAAAAAATTTGCCACCTAGGAAGCATTTCCTGAGCACCCTACTAGATTTTCCCCATTCCAACACTCATTGGTCAATAAAGTGCAGAGTTTCTTGTTTCTGGCAGTTACAAAGCCTGAGTGTAGTGGTTACACAACCATTTTCCTTCAAGGGAAAACTCAGGAAGGTATTGGATTGGTCACTAAGAGAATTATCTACTCCTTCTTTGAAAAAATGCACACGGTTTCAGAACCCAATGGTTATAATGTAATTCTAAATTAACTTCCTAAAGATAATTTATGCTACTGAGAACTTCTTGGTACCTTTCGATTCTCTGAAGACAAACATTTATATACAACTGCATACAAATGCCAGGAATGTTTTATAATTGTATAACTACATAGAATTTAATATGTATATGTTGGAAAAAGGAAAGAGGGAGAAAATACATTTTTATCAAGGTATTAACTACTTGCAAAATTTTAAAGCTCCAAATGGCTTGCTGAAAATTACTATTTGGCAAGATATTTCTCAATCTGGCTTAAGTTGCCTATTGTAATTTTACTAAGCCTAGCATTTTAACATTTTTGAGCACATTCCCAACAATCTTTAACGATAGATGCATCTTTTAAAAAAATCAGTCAATAAAGTACACATGTAACAAAATGAACCACTAAAGGAATACTAAAAGTTAAAAATTTTATGAAAAAAATTCATAGAGGGAACAATTAAAAAATAAACCCATGTATTATTACTAAGTAAAGATGATTCCTTTGAAAAATATTTCATTTACCAATTTTGGCTTGAATATACTATCAAATGCAATGGAGGCATGCCTCTCTCTCCTGCTATGTAAAATTTTGAAAATAGAGTTCATCCTGGATATCAAATTGTTAAAGCAAATGGCAAGAGCCAAATAAATAAGTGAAAACAAGGCAGGCTAGTTTAGGAGTCATGTTTATGGACATGCATTACTGGTGTGGATAGCATTTGTTAGCATCTACCAACTAGACACTAATGATTTTAGGTTTTCTGGGTGAGTGCTCAAGGCTTTGACACCAGATTTTTTTTTTTTTTGCTGACATTTCACATAGGGCAATGATTTTGCTTTTAAAATGATGAAATTCATGTCTTGTGATCTTCAAAAGAGGAAGAACTATTCTGCTCTTCAAAAGTCAGAGCAGATGCTGCTCTACTAACTCAGAATCATTCATGAGAATTGTCAATTTGTTCTTCCAAAAATACCAAGTAAGACAAGATAAAAGCAAATGTTTTTGCTATCAAGACAGAGACATTTGGTCAGAGCAATAAAATAGCCTCAAATGCCAAAAAACAATAAAGAAAGTGTGGAATGAGTAACTTCCAAAGTTATGGAAATAATTTGACTGTGTCTCACTACATGTTAAAAAATTGACAGAATTCCTAAACACCCACAGATGGAAGTTCTATACTAACAGCTCAGTAGAGCAGAGTCATGATTAAAGGCCTATTATAACAACGGTGCAGCTGGGAATTTTGTCTACTGCAAAACAATTGTATTGTATATAAAATGTATATACATGTCTGGCTATTTTTCTGATGGTAGTTGATTAATTTGCTGTAAGCCGCTACAGATTCTCTGATGGTAAATTTTATATATTTAAAGGATGGCTGAACTGGGCTTCCATAAATACAACTTCTTATCTGTTCACTATTATGGATAAAGGGATACAGCCTTCATGTTAAGTAGAGTTAACATATTAAACAGATATTCACAATTCTATCTGCACACAAACTAACTAATTTTCTTTGGCTAAAACTATGAACTAGTAATTTTGCAGAAGATACAAATAGAAACCCACAAAATGCCGATGTAATTTTTGTTAATATATAATTCAATCAGTTAAAAAAGTATGATAATACAATGGTTTAGATAGGATTGGAAAAGTTAGCAAGAAAAAAGAAAATAGTAATATTTCTGTAGCTTGCTACAGTATGGTGAAGTGGTGTGGATTTAGTCTGTCTGGCTTGTATTTGAATCATGGTTCCTTAATTACAAGTTATGTGACACTAAGCAAATTTTTCAATCAGTCTAAGATTTGGTTTCCTCCTACGTGTGACATGAGGATAATGAAACCTCGTAGGGATGTAGTGAGAGTTAAATGAAATGCTAATGCTAGTAGACAATGAATGAGAAGTATTGTTGTTTGATGCCAGGTACCTCTTATGTCATTTAAATCTTATAAATTTTATTCCTTGACCTGGCTGTAAACTGAGATAACTTTAAGAAACTTGAGAATTACTGATGCCTACCTCTGAGATGTGATCTGTATTTTGGGACCTGAAAAGGTCTCCAGATGAATCTAACACACAACAAAGTTTAGAAACTACTGCCTAGAATAATCCAGTCAGCTAAGCAATAGCATCTTCATTTTAGAGTATATAATATAGAGTAAATAATATAGGCCAGGATTGATTTATTCAAGATCACATGGCCAATGACTGACATGAAAATAGTAGGCCACCAAAATAAAAAGTTACAAAATAGTGTATATAGTTCAATGCTAATTTTTTATTTAAAAAGTTAATCATATGTATAAAAAGACTAAGTTTATCAAATGTATTTGTCAAAAATCTAACTGGAACGGAATTAAGAGTTAGTTTCATTTTCTGCACTGTGATGATGTTTCTCAATGTTCAGTGAAGAATATATATTACTTTTCTAATAAGAGAGGAAAACATACATGTTATTTTTTTTAAAAAATCAGAAAATCGGCAAATAAATAGGTTTATAAATTCAAGAGTGAACATCTTTAATTTGAAGTTCACTCACATGACAATACCCAAAAGGTAGAGGGATACATGATTCTGAAGTGCTGAATAGAAATGTGGACTAAATATCTGATCTTAAAACACCTGTTTGAGAGATTTAAAATCACTACAGGTTTGCCGTCAATTATAAATTAATAAAGAGCTCTAAGACTTTCTTAGTGGTCTGATATCAGGGCTTTCATTCTTTTTCAATTTTCTTTGTCACTTTCTTAGCCCTAAGTAACTCATGACTTCTGCATTTCTATAGCCTTTTAAATAGTCTTTTATATTCCAGTCTATTTATATTTCCATCTGTTCTGTATACTTCTCTAATAGAACTTATAAAGTCCCAATAAGCCTTCTATTTATAAAAACACAATGGTTTGTCTACTAAATGGAAGTTCAAATTTCTTAGGCAAGCACTCAAAACTTCCCATAAGTTCATCGTTTTTTGTCACTGGTCTAATTTTTTCACCCTACCTTCCTGTCAAACATGATTATGTAGTCAAACACACCATTTATTTATCCACTTCAGGCTCTTTTTTTATTATTTATTAAGTTTATTGGTATATTTTAGGTATACAGTATGATGACATTCATCACTGGGAATTTGTACCTTTACATGATATATCTTGGTTCTTATATTTTTCCCCATTCCCCTGCCCTCCCTTCAACCCCTCCACCTTTCCCTATTTACAAAGACTTTCTTTCCATTTTTTCATTTTCTCATATTTATTACTTTCCTTTCCCCTACCCCTCCCACTTCCCCTTACCCTTTGGGCCTTATCTTCCTATTTCACATTATCTATTATACATCTTGATCCTTATTTACACTTTCAGTTTCTCACACCATAGAAACTATTTAGTATTTACACATGGGTGTCCTATTTATTTCACTTAAGAGTATGGCCTCAATGTGCATCCATTTAGCTATAAATGTCTCTAATTTCTCATTCTTTATGGCTGAGTAGTATTCATTTTATAAAAAAAAAATCTTCTTTATCCAGTCTCCAGTTGATGGGCGATTGAACTGTTTTCAAGTTTTAGCTATTACAAACTGTGCCGCTATAAATATGGGTGCACATATACATAGGCCTCTCCCTCTGCTTCAGATGCCTCCAGTATCTGCACCATTCTAAATTCTGCCAATTCTCTGAAGTTCAACTCAAATGCTGGATCCTCCATAAAAATTTCCTGTTATCTCTATTACAAGTGATCACAACTCCTTGCAGATTTTCCACTTATGTGTAGCATTCCCATAATATTTACCCCCTTTGGAATGTAGTTTGCCATTTACTTCACAACAGATACTTACATAATTCTTACACACACACACACACACACACACACACACACACAAACACTCTTGCATTCATAGCCAATAGATTTTTTAAAAAGTAGAATTGTGGTGTGAGATCAAAGCACAGGTAAGTGGCATAGTTCAGATGTAAATTCATTACTTTTTCAAGAAAGTGATATAAATCCTGAGAACTTTCTCATTAAAATTGTGGTAAAATACACATAACATAAAAATTACCATCTTAACCATTTTTAAGCATACAATTCAGTGGCAGTAAGTACATCCACATTGTTGTGCAACCATTTCTACCATCTATTTCTAGAACTTTTTCATCTTGAAAACTGAAACTGTACATGCTAAACAATATCTCCCTATTTCCCCTACCTTCAGCCCTACAATTATGATTCTATTGCATGTTTCTGAAGTTGACTACTCTAAGTACTTTACACAAGTGGAATCATAGAGCATTTATTCTTTTGTGACTGGCTTATTTCACTTAGCATAATGTCCTCAAAATTCATCTATGTTATGGCATGTAGCAGAATTTCCTTTTTCATGTCCACTAATATTCCATTGTATGCATACATCACACTGCTCTTACTTTTTTTTCTATTGCAGAGAAGGCTATTATGAATATACATGTACAAATATTTGCCCAAGTCCTTGCTTTTAGTTCTTTTGGGGCTATAACCAAAAGTGGAATTGCTGGGCCATATAGTAATTCTATTTTTAATTTTTTGATTAACTGCCATCCTGTTTTTATAATAGATGCATCACTTTATATCCTTACCAGTACTGCACAAAAGTTCTAGTTTCTCCATATCCTTATCAACAACTGTGACTTTTTTTGTTTGTTTGGCAATCATCATCAGTGGGTGTGACTTGAATCTTTTGCTTGTTGAGGATTTAAACAGGACTTACAAATTCAAATAATCAGAGGCTGAGGAATTAACTAAACAAGTGAGGCAGGCTTCATTATGATGATCTGTGACAATGGACACTAAGCCTCAGGATCTGAAAGATAAAAGGAAGTGGGCGATACAATGACTCTTTGAAGAGCCCATGGTTTTCTTAATAGAGAACTTGCTACTCAGCTCCAACCAATTAGGGCTCTAGCAGGTTTTAATGTATTACATGAAATTTTATGAATTTTAAGCATTGAATAATGCATTCAAATTTATAAATTGTTGAAAGCCGACATTCCTTAGGCAACCAGATTTGGGTAAATGATGCCAGTATAAGACATCAGGTATGAGTAGAAGCCTTCTTACTTTGACGATAAAAATCACACTAGTGAGCAAGAGAGAAGAAATTCTGGGCCTGTGATAGAATGGATGCTGAATCCTAGTGCCTAGAAAATGGTGACGTGGCAATTGGGAGCTGGTGGCTAAGAGTTCCAATCCTTTGGGCTCCTGCCTAGCCTGGCAGGATGTAGAGAGGTCATGCTGAGAATTTCCCTTTTCTCAAATATTGAAAAGCATGACTTCATCCAGGTTCCATGCTTTAGAGAGCTCTACAGGTCAAGAGAGTAATTACCTTTCTGGTACAATTGGCCCTCTGCAAAAGTCAGTACTAGAAGATAGTACAAGACCAACTAAACTTCTCTCTCATGATACAGAGGAGCATGTGTAACCACTGAAAGTATATCAAGGCGGAGGTTTGGTAATGTGTGTGCACATGGCGACCACAAAAACACTATCCAGTATTTGGCCTTATATATGGGCTATTTAGTTTAGTTATCTCCAGAAACACATAGAGCATGAATAGACAAACTTAAAAAAAAACAAGGCCAGATAGTAAATATTTTATGCTGGGATGGTCACTAAGTCTCTGTTACATATTGTTGTCGTTTTTAAATAACTTTATAAAAATCTTCTTTAGCTCAAGGGCCATATAAAAGTAGGTCATGGGCCAGTCCACAGGCTATAGTTTGCCAAAACTCATGTATAAGAACATCTCAGTTGCATTATTTGTACCTTGCCTTCCCAGTGGATTTTCAGAACCATTCAGGAAAGGAATGATTTTTTGCATCCACCAGAGTTTCTTATAAGAGCACCTTATAAATATATGGGCTCAATAAATATTGATAAGTAAAAGATCTCTCGATTAAGAAGGGAGTTTTCAAATATCTTAAGCAAGAGGGTGGTATCTTGAATCAGTTATAAGATTAAGCTTCTTACAGTTTTCTCCAAAACACAGTATTAACAACTCATCAGAAAGAGATGGCAAAACTTACCAATAGTGGCCTGATGGGTTAGGGAAAAGCAGAAAGCCTAGCTTTCTGGATGAGAGACAAAAGGGAAGAGTGACTATTTTCTTTTTTATGTAGGTCAAGAGGCAGAGTGCATCTGTAAAGAATAGGTGACCGGAAATGGCAATGATAACTGTATTTCCTAGAAAAAACAAAGATGAGAAGCATTAAAAGCTTGTAGAAACACTGATTTGAACTTTTATTTTTTTGGGGGGACAGTGTCTCTCTTTGTAGCTCAGGTTGGCCCTGAACTCACTATGTAGCCCAGGCTGGCCTCAAACTCACAGTGATCCTCCCACCTCTGCCTCCTGAGTGCTGGGATTACAGGCATGTGCCACTACACCTGGATGATTTGAATTTTTTCAAGGATGATTTGAATTTTTTCAATGTCCCCAATTCAAGATACAACCATTGTGCAAAACAGTATTTTTTTTTTTTTGGTACTGGGGATAGAACTCAGGACCTTGTGCTTGCGAGGCAGGTAGCAGAACCACTGAGCTAAATCTCTGGACCCTAAAACAGTATTTTATAAGGATAAATACAGTGTGTTCCCAGTAAGCAATTTATGAAGTGTCTAGGAGAATTTTATAGCATTATTAGGTTTCCAACATAAGATGTAGAACTCCAGTAAGAATCTGAGGGCAAAATTTTGTCTCTAGCCTGGTAAAATTATTTCCACTTAATAAATTTTCTTTATTTGGATAATGCTAGCAGTGCCTCACCCTACTCCCTGGGCACTTTGTAATGTAGGTAAATTAACATTCCCAGGTCTCCAGGATACTAGTGTTTATACTTTCCTGATAGGGTTTATGGGTTGGCAGAGGAGACAGCTCTGAGTGAAATATGAGGGTTCCCAAAAGTGTCTAACCTCAAATACTTCATTATTAGCACAAATGTGTGATAGCAGGACTATAAAAGAAATTATTCCTTCGGGTTAAAGCATAAAAGCTCTCAAAATATCTTGTTAAAGTGGAATACCTGGGAAGAAGAAATGACACACTAATTAACCCATTATCAGCAATTAGGAACCCAAGAGGGGTCCATTTTTCAGTCTGCTAATCCTCCATTGGTCAGCAAAGGAGAAAGCCCTCAAAGCACAAAGGTTGGCAGCAAAAGAGTTATGGTGATCCAGCTCTGTAGGGGAAATAGGCCAGGGCAAGACTGAAATGGAGATTCAGGGAAGAGAAGGTGGGGCATGTGTGGGATAAGCAATTAAGGATGGAAAAAAACAGGCTGAGAGAAATAAAAGCATACAAAAGATAAAACTATATGTTTCACAAAGCAGATACACTAAACCCTGCTGTAAGTGCCAGGGTCTGTAGTCCACTAAAGAAATTAGAAACTTCAGAAATGGAAACAACATGGTTTACTAATAAATTCTTAAGAATTATAAATATGTATTGAAAATACTATATTATTCTAGGTATTGTTAGCAGAGGGAAAATAAGCTACTGTGTTCTGAACACATAATATATGTTCACCCATTCTTGTGTTATCTCAATTCTTATAACTATACTCTGAAAGAGGCAGCAATTTCCTCATATTATAACTAAGGAAATTTAGGGTCAAAAATCCCACATGGCTTATACAAAGTCATTTGGCATATAGTTTAGTATTTAATAATACTTGATGCTAAGCATTATGCTAATTTACATGCATCTCTTATTTTACATCAAATTACCCCATTAAGTACATAGTAGCAATATGTTTATTTTATATGTAATTAGATGTTAAATTAGATTAATAAGTTTAAGATAACTGAAGTTCTTGGGATTAAAGCACATATTTATTTAAATTCTTACCTATAGAATGACATTGTCTTTAAGATAAGAAGTGTCTAGCTTCTGTCTTTCAATCTATATTTCACATCCTACTACACAATACTGTATTCTATATAAAATATGGTGTAAGCTAGGCATGGTAGTGTATGCCTGTGATAGCACTCTGTGAGGTTGAAGCTGAAGGATCACAAGTTTGAGCCCAGACCAATGCAACCTAGTGACTTGGCAAGAATTTGCGTCAACATAAAAAAGCAAATGAAAAGGGGCTGGGGATATAACTCAGTGGGAAGGCCCTACATTCAATTGTTCAATTGCCAGGAAAACACACACACACACACACACACACACACACACACACACGGTATATGATATAACCCATGCTGTGGAATAAAATTATAACAAACTTAGATTGGCAAAGATTCCTCTGCCTCCTCCTTTGATATAACCTTCCTCTCCCCCTGCTCCTTCTTCAGTGATATCCACCTCCTTTTGGTTATGGGAGTTAATTTGTTTCTTTTCTCTGTTCCTATTTCCAAAAATGAAGTCTTATATTCAAAAGGGAAGGGAAGCAGTTTTGTCCTTGTGGCAATGAGACAGAGATCCAGAAGTCCGTGTAGATATTTTGCCTGCCTTGTCTTTCAGGATTCTTGGTTGGTGTCCATGAGATGGTTTGTCTCACTTGACAATAATGTAAAATGGGCATCATCTGTTGAAGCTCGTGACTTGTTTTTAAATTGGCTCTGGTTGCATTTGTATCCACCAAATCTGGTTCCTGTCAGCAATGATGTTCATTGTGTCAATGACAGCTGGATCATGAGTACACATGATGTTCATCAACACCTGCTAAACACACACTACCACAGCCTTCTGACATCAGAGACCATTAGAAGTATTACCTTTATATTCCTTTATCATGGATGGGTGACTCTTTCCAAACCTTATGTATTAGATCCCCTTTTCCTGCTGGAAAATACTTGAATGAAGACAAATGGGAGTCACAGGCCCTAGCAAGCTGGTCATTGAATCTACTATTTATGTGACCTTCTTAAGACAAGGGAATACCTAATACTTCCAAAACTGATGTACAGATTTAATGCAATCTCAATAAAAATAAAAATAGCATTCCTCAAAGAACTAGAGAAAACAATCCTAAAATTCATATGGAACCAAAAGAGACTTAGAATAGCAAAAAATCCTGAACAACAAGAGCAAGGCAGGAGGTATCACAATCCCAGACTTCAAGTTATACTACAAAACTACAGTGATAAAAACAGTATGGTGTTGGCAAAAAAATTATGGGTCAATGAAACAAAATATAGAGGATGAAAAAACAACCCCAGGCATACTCAGCTACCTCATCTTTGAAAAGGGGACCAAAAACTTTTGCTGGAAAAAAATAGCCTCTTTAACAAATGGTGCAGCGAAGGGCTGGGGATTTAGCTCAGTGATTCCACTGCCTGCCTCACAAGCACAAGGACCCAAGTTCCATCCCTGGTGCCAAAAAAATAAAAAAAAAAATGGTGCAGGGAAAACTGGCTATTTATATGCAGAGGACTGACCCTAGACTCATATCTTTCACCACGTACTAAACTAAAATCAAAGTGGAGCAAAGATCGAAAAATAGAAACATCTACTCTGCTGGAAGATAAAATAGGCAAAACTCTTGAAGACATAGGCATAGGCAAGGTTTTTCTGAACAGAACCCAAATTGCACAAGAAATAATACCAAGAGTCAAAAAATGTGATAATATAAAATTAAGCTTTGGAAACAACCAACAGAGTAAAGGAACAACCTACCAGAATGGGAAAAAAAAATTTGCTGCCAGGGATTTAGCTCAGTGGCACCATGCCTGCCTCACAAGTGCAAGGTCCTGAGTTTGATCCCTGGTACTAAAAAAAAATTTTTTTGCCAGTTATTCCTCAAAGGACTAATATCCTAGAATACATAAAGAACTAAAAATTAGACTCCCCAGTTAAAAGACCCAATCAAAAAATGAGCAACTGAAATGAAGACACTTCTCAGAAGTACAAAAGGCCAGTAAATGCATTTTTTTAAAAAGTTCAACATCACTGGCTATTTGAGAACTGCAAATTAAAACAACATTGATATTCTCACATCAAGAAGCAAGGTTATTATCAAGAAATCAAATAATAACAAATGCTGGTAAGATGCAGGGAAAAGGGAACCCTTCTTCACTATTGGTAGGAAGTATAAATTAGTGTAAATTATTAGAACCACTATGGAAATCAGTATGAAGAGTTCTCAAAAAGTTAAAACTAGAGATTTCATTTCCCAACTATTCCCCTTCTAAGTATTTTCCTGCAAGAGTTAAAAACATCATATGACAGTGGTACATGTATAACTGTTTACTGCAGCACAATTCACAATAGTTAAATCTTAGAGGCAGCCTATAGGTCTATCAATAAATGAATGGATAGAGAAAATGTAGTATTTACCCACAGTGGTACTACTTTACTCACAGTGGTAACCACAGTGGAGTACTACTTTACCATAAAGAAGGATAAACATAAGTAATTTCTAGAAAAATGGACATATCTCAAGACCATAATGTTAAGTGCAATAAATCAGACATACAAGCTTAAATATCACAGGGTTTCTCGTATATGAGAAACCCAAATACAAATAAAGAGCAAAATAAAAATAGACAGTAGGAAACAGCAAGATAGATCTTTAACATAGGGGAAGAGAACAAAGAGGTGGGGGGGGAAGGAAAGGAGGAAAATGAGATTTAAAGAAAAGACATTATATGTGTTGTGTACATGTACCAAGTCCCTACAAGGATGTAATCTTTATGCACTACAAACATGTACCAAAAAATATAGGAGAAGGAGTCCAAGAGATGGAAGGAGGGGGAAGGAGAGGAGGGGAAGGGAATAAAAAATTAAGATGTGTCACATACGTGTACCCACTCCCCATGATGAATATAATCATTATCTATTATAAACTTGTACTAAAATGAAAATACAAGGAGACATTTAGAAATCCAAGTCAACTGCAGCTCTGTGCACAGTGAAGCAGACTCACTATGCTACTTTGCCATTTCTAATTACCTAGGGTGGGGTGGGGATGCTGTGTCTCTCAAAAGAGGCTTGGAACATATTTATCCCAGGGATAAAAACTTAATTCACACAAAATCCTGAGCAAAAGGATATACCCACTTTATTTGTAAACTTGGGAGCAACCAAGAAATCCTTGAATAGGTAGAAGGATAAACTGGTACATATATACAATGGAACATTATTCAGGAATAAAAAAGAAATGAGCTATTAAGCCATGAAATGGCATAGAGGAAACCTAAATGAATATTACTGAGTGAATGAAGCCAATCTTAAAAGGCTA